GGTTGGTGGGCATTTAGGCTGTTTCTACATTTTGGCAATTGTAAATTGAGCTGCAATAAACAGTCTAGTGCAAGTGTCCTTATGATAAAAGGATTTGTTTCCTTCTAGGTAGATACCCAGTAATGGGATTGCAGGATCAAATGGAAGGTCTAGCTTGAGTTCTTTGAGAGTTCTCCATACTTCCTTCCAAAAAGGTTGTATTAGTTTGCAGTCCCACTAGCAGTGTAAAAGTGTTCCCTTCTCTCCACATCCACGCCAGCATCTACAGTTTTGAGATTTTGTGATGTGGGCCATTCTTGCTGGGGTTAGATGCTATCTCAGGGTGGTTTTGATTTGCATTTCTCTAATAATTAGGGATGATGAGCATTTTTTCATATGTATGTTAGCTATTTGTCTTCTATTGATATATGGGATTGTTGGTTTTTTTCGTGTATATTAATTTGAGTTCTCTATAGATACTAATTATCAAGCTTTTGTCTGATTCAAAATATGCAAATATCCTTTTCCATGGGCAGTGCCCATGGCTCAAAGGAGTAGGGCACCAGCCCCATATGCTAGAGGTGACGAGTTCAAACCCAGCCCTGGCCAAAAACTGCAAATATATATATATATATATATCTTTTCCCATTGTGTAGGTTGTCCATTTGCTGTGGTTGTTGTCTCCTTAGCTGTACAGAAGCTTTTCAGTTCAATTAAGTCCCATTTGTTTATTTTTGTGTTGTTGCAATTGCCACAGCAATATTCCTCATGAAGTCTTTCCCCAGGTCGGTATCTTCCAGTGTTTTTCCTATGCTTTCTTTAAGGATTTTTATTGTTTCGTGCCTTAAATTTAAGTCCTTCATCCATCTTGTATCAATTTTTGTGAATAGAGAAAGGTGTGTGGGTCCAGTTTCAGTCTTTTACATGTGGATATCCAATTCTCCCAGCACCACTTATTGAATAGGGAGTCTTTCCCCCAGTATATGTTCTTATTTGGTTTATTGAAGATTAGGTGGTTGTAAGATGTTAGTTTCATTTCCTGGTTCTCTATTCAATTGCAAATGTCTATGTCTCTATTTTTGTGCCAGTACCATGCTGTCTTCACCACTATGGCTTTGTAGTACAGCCTAAAATCTGGTATGCTGATGCCTGTGGCTTTTTTTATTACTAAGAACTGCCTTAGCTATGTGGCGTTTTTCTGGTTCCATACAAAATGCAGAATCATTTTCTCTAAGTCTTGAAAGTATGATGTTGGTATTTTAATAGGGATGGCATTGAATAGGTAGATTGCTTTGGCAAGTATAGACATTTTGACAATGCCAATTCTTCCCAGCCATGAGCATGGTATGTCCTTCCATTTGTTAACATCCTCTGTTATTTCCTTTCTTAGGGTTTCATACTTTTCTTTATAGAGGTCCTTTACCTCTTTCATTAGGTATATTCATTTTCTAGGTATTTCATTTTCTTTGAAGCTATGGTGAAGGAAGTTGTGTCCTTAATTAGCCTCTTATCTTGGCTGTTATTGGCATATACAAAGGCTACTGACTTGTGGACATTGATTTTATATCCTGAGACATTACTGTATTATTTTTTGATGACTTCCAGGAGTCTTGTGGTTGAGTCTTTGGAGTTCTCTAAGTATAAGATTATATCATCAGCAGAGGGAGAGTTTGACCTCCTCTGCTCCCATTTGGATGCCCTTTATTTTCTTGTCTTGTCTAATTGTATTGGCTAGAACTTCCAGCAGTATGTTGAATAGTAATGGTGGCAGAGGACAACCTTGTCTAGTTCTAGTTCTAAGAGGAAAAGCTTTTGGTTTTACTCCATTCAGTAAAACATTAGCTGTGGGTTTGTCATAGATAGTTTTGATCAGATTCAGAAATGCGCCACATATGCCTATACTCTTCAATGTGCTAATTAGAAAAGGATGCTGGATTTTATCGAATGCTTTTTCTGCTGACAGAATCATATGGTCTTTGTTTTTGCTTCTGTTAATACAGTAAATAACACTTATGGACTTGTGTATGTTAAACCAGCTTTGCATTCCTGGGATGAAACATATTTGATCATGATGTATGATTTTTTTGATGATAAGCTGTAATCTATTGGCTAGGATTTTTGTTGAGAATTTTTGCATCTATATTCATTAGTGAAATTGGTCTGAAATTCTCTTTTTTAGTTGGGTCTTTTCCTGGTTTTGTTATAAGGTGATGTTTGCTTCGTAGAACATGTTGGGGAAGATTCCTTCCTCTTCAATTTTTTGGAATAATTTCTGCAGTATGGGAATAAGCTCTTCCTTGAAGGTTTGATATAATTTTGGTATGAAGCTATCCAGACAGGGCATTTTTCTGTTGGAAGATTTTTTATTGTTTCTATGATCTCAGTGCTTGAAATTGGTCTCTTCAGGAGCTCTATTTTTTCCTGGCTAAATCTAGGGAGAGGATGTGATTCTAAACATTGATCCATTTCCTTCACATTGTCAAATTTCTGGGCATAAAGTTTCTGGTAGTATTCAGAGATGATCTCTTGTATCTCTGTGGCATCAGTTGTTATTTACCCTTTATCATTTCTGATTGAGGTTACTAGAGATTTTACTTTTCTATTTCTAGTTAGTCTGGCCAAAGGTTTATCTATTTTATTTATTTTTTCAAAGAAACAACTCATTGTTTCATTAATTTTCTGAATGATTCTTTTGTTTTCAATTTCATTGATCTCTGACTTAATTTTGGATATTTCTTTTCTTCTGCTAGGTTTAGGCCTAGGTTGTTCTTCTTTTTCCAGTTCCATAGGGTGGCTTGTGAGTTTGTTGATGCTCTCTCTCTTTCTGTTTTCCAAATTTAGGCATCTAAAGCAATAAATTTTCCTCTCAGAACTGCTTTTCCAGTATCCCACAGGTTTTGGTAGCTTATGTCTTTATTGTTCTTATGCTCAAGAAAGTTAATGATTTCCTCTTTTATTTCTTCCTGCACCCAACTGTCATTCAACAGAAGGCTTTTCAATTTCTATGCCTTTGTGTGGGGTTGAATATTTTTGTTGGAGTTGAGTTCCACCTTTAGTACCTTGTGGTCTGAGAAGATACAAGGTAAAATTTCAACTCTCTTGATTCTGTTGAGGTTAGTTTTGTTAGTTTTCTATAGGATACACTATTGCTCAGACTAAGTAAGGTCCGTTTCAAGAATGTGGGAGTATTTAAGTTGGGTCCATAAATATGTAGAATTCTTGTATTTTTCACTTGACCAATATAAAGTGACCATCTTTGTCTTTTTGACTTTAGTTGCTTTAAATCCACATGTATCTGAAAATAAGATTGCAACCCCTCTTTTCTTCTGAATTCCATTTGCCTGAAAAATTGTCTTCCAGCCTTTAACTCGGAGTTTTAATTTGTCTTTTGAAGCTAGGTGTGTTTCCTGCAGACAGCAAATGGATGGTTTGTGTTTTTTTACCCAGTCAGCCAATCTATGTCTCTTTAGTGGGGAATTCAAGCCATTAACATTTATTGAGATAATTGATAAGTATGGTAGTGTTCTATTCTTCTTATTTTGTGAGAGTCCATTGCTTAGTTTTATCCTTTGCATCATTGTGGAAGTTAGGTTCTGTCCTTTAATTTCTGAGTTCTTACTTTGCTATTGATCCATTGTGATAGTCAGTATGTAGAACAGGTTGAAGTGCATCCTGCAGAGCTGGTCTTGTTGTAGCAAATTTCCTTAATGGTTGTGTATCAGTAAATGATTTGGTTTCTCTGTCAATTTTAAAGCTTAGCTTAGCAGGGTATAGAATTCTGGGCTGGAAATTATTCTGTTTAGATAGATTAAAGGTAGATGACCATTGTCTTCTTGTTTGAAAAGTTTCATTAGAGAAGTCTGCAGTCACCCTGATGGATTTTTCCCTATAGGTCAACTGTTGCTTACTCCTGGAAGCTTGAAGAATCTTTTCTTTTGTCTTGACTTTGGACAGGTTCATCACTATGTGTCTTGGAGAATCTCTGTTAGAGTTGAGGCAACCTGGGGTCCAATATTCTTCTGAAAGGAGTGTGTCAGAATCTTTTGTGATATTTGGGAAATTTTCATTAATAATATTTTCTAGTATGGCTTCCATTTCCTAGAGCATTCTTCTTCCCCTTCTGGGATACCTAGAATTCATATCTTTGAACGCTTCATAAAGTTCCATAATTCTGTCAGCAAACGTTCTGCTTTCTCTCTCTTCTTTTCTGCCTCTTTGACTATCTGAGTTATCTCAAGAACTTTGTCCCTACCTCTGAGATTCTTTCTTCTGCATGGTCTAATCTGTTGTTGATACTTTCTATTGCATCTTTAAGTTCCCTAATTGACTGCTTCAGGTCCTTTAGCTCTGCTATATCCTTTCTATATTCTTCATATCATTCATCTCTTATTTGATTCTCTTTTTGGATTTCCTTTTGGTTATTTTCCACGTTATCAGCAGTTTCCTTCATTTCCTTCATTATTTTCATCATGTGTATTCTAAATTCCCTTTCTGTCATTTCTAACATTTCTTTATAGGTGGAATCCTCTGCAGTAGCTACCTCACAGTCCCTTGGGGGGGTTGCTCTGGACTGGTTTTTCACATTGCCAGGATTTTTCTGATGACTCTTCCTCATGAGTGTTTTCTTTTATCTGTTTCCTTGCTCTAATTTTCCTTTCACTTCCTCTTGCTCTTTAAGTTACCATGCCTCTGGCAGAGGGTTTTTATGAGTCCTTTTGGTATAGGACCAGAAGGATGAGAAGATTGAAGAGCAAGAAGGGAAAAAAGATTTAAAAAAAGAAAAAAAGAAAAAAGAGAAAGGAAAGGGGATGAGTAAAAGGGAATATTGACAAAAAGAAGAGGCACAGAAAGAGGAAGAAGGAGCAATATAGTAGAGTACTTCGACCCAACCTTAAAAAACCCCAACCTCTAGGGGTGCCGGGTTGAGTAGTTCCCTTGAGGTCAGCAGCTCTTTGCTAGCCTGTTCAGACACAGTACCCCCACCTCCACTAAGTACAGAGGAAAGAAAAAAGTGCTATAAATGAAACCAAAACAAGCAAACAGAAAACTTTATGGGAACATTTGGGGGGGAAACCAAATAATAGGGGTAGAAACACTAGCAAAAATGAAGTTCTAATTGTTAAAGAAGGCAACAGTGGAAAATTATATGTAAATTAGAAAAATAAAGAAAGAAAAGAAAGAAAAAAAAGAGAAAAATCTAGAGGCAAAATGTTGAAATTTTAAAAAACTCCAAAAAACCAAAACTAAAAACAGAGCAGTATATATATCTTGCTGAATATTGTTTGGGCAACAGGTGATCTTCTGGGGTATGCGATGTTAATCACAATGTTGATACGGCTATATGAGATGGAGACTGGAGGCCTCTGCTGATTTCTCAAACCCCACAGGGTAGAGAACCTAAATCTCTCCTCAGCCCACTTAAAAGTCACTTTAAACTATTAACCTTGGCTAAGCAGAAGCTTTCCCAGGAAAGTACTTGTTGCTGGGATCATTCCTGAAGTAGTTGCCCGCTTACCCAATGTGCCCAAACTAGTCTCACTCTATGCCCCTGAGGGCCAAGGCTGTAAGGCATCTCATCTCAGTTCCCACCTTTAGGCTGCTCAGTCACTAGATTACTCTGTGACCCTGAGGGCAGAGCTTGCTGAGGCAGTTCTCCCACAATGGCCCTGTGCTGCCCACAGCCAAACACTATTAGCTCCATCCAGCTCAGCGGTGCAGTCTGGGGCCCTTGACAACGCATAAAGTCCTCCACACTCTTGCCCAAGTTCTTCCAAGGTAGTTCAACTGAGTACCAAGTTCAAAAAAAAACCAAAACAGCTCACAGGTCTTTCCAATTTGTAGTCTCACTGCTGCTGTACTTACAGCTGCCAGCGGGATTAGACTAAACAAACACATGCAACCACTTGCTAGTTCTCCACTGCTTTTGTCCTCCTCATGGGGCCCAGAAGTCCCTTGCTTACTCCCTGTGTCCCCAAAGGGATATTTCTGGGCAGAACCCACCAGCCAGAGATGCCTAGAGTCTTCTCTCCCCAGTCTCACTATGTCCACTTCCAAAGAAGCTGTGACTCAGCTGCCATCTTGCTCCTCCCCTCCCACAAATTCTTTAATATTTATTCCCAAGAGATTAGGGTGACCAGATTTTAACATTTGTAAAGCGGGACAACATGGCCTGGAGCAGGGCGGGAGCGGGGCAGGGGATGGGGCAGGGCAGGGCCTGACAACAATGCAAACTTTGATGAGCAGTTCTGGATAATCACTTCTCAACAATTATTTGTTATTATTACAGTTTAACATTATAAAATTAACAAAAAAATATAAAACTCATATTCTGGTGAAATAGCCACATGGCAGCCGAAAACCGTATATTCCCTTCCTGTTCTCCCACCCATTCGTGCATTCTTTCCAAAAATTGGGACTTTTTTAAAAGCCACAGGACATGGGACAAATTGTTTAAAAGTGGGACTGTCCCACTAAAAGCAGGACGTCTGGTCACTCTACAAGAGATGGAGTTTACTCTGCCCCTTCTAGAGCATAGGCTGTATGTAGTGACTCACTGCTAATAGACAGAGTATAGAATCCAGGAAAATAGTAACTTTGCCAGATACCACCTTATCCAAGTGAGGAATGTTGACACCACCATTAATAAATCATGTTGACTTCTTATCCTCCCTGATAGGGTCCACTCAGAATGGTCCATCACCACTGTGGTATTCTTAGAAACCCTAAACCTCAGGCTAATTGTGAGAAAATACCAGACAAATCCAAGTTGAAAGCATTCTATAAAATAATTAACCAGGACTCTTCAAATGTGTCAGACAAAACAAGGAAAGACTAAGAAGCTGTCAGGTTGGAGAAGACTAAAGAGTCATGAGAAGCAAATGTAATATGGCATCTGGGACAGGATCCTGAGATAGAAACAAGATATCAGTGGAAAAACTAGGGAAATATTAACAAAGTATATAGTTTAGCTAATGGTACTAATATTAAGTTTTTATTTTGATACCATCCCATGGCTATGTACATTCAATGTTAACATTAGAGGAAGCAAATGAAGTGTGTATGAGAACACTCTGTATTACCTTTGCAGTTCTTCAAGAATGAAGTTTTAAAATTGCTTCCTAATTTTCTAATTGCGTGTATTCTACAGGGCTCAGAATTTAAATTCATTTTTCTTAGCTCTACCTGTATCTATAAATTGCTCCACAACCTTAAATAAATCTGTTACCTTTTTGATGTCTGATTACCCTTAATGTAAAATGATGCAGTGACATTTGTATCAAACATGTCTAGAAATAATACATATATGCCAGCAAGTTTCTTTAAACAATTCTTTTGGAAATCTTAAGTGTTCTTTGAAGCATCACTTAGAAATATATTCCTTCTTTAAAAAATGAAGCTAGCAAGCTTCTTGCAAAGTATTTATTTTTATTATTAAACTAGGTCAGTATATTATTTTGCTAAAATACTCATTTGATTAAGATTTTTGGACTTATCTTTTTCTCTTCCTTCAATAAAGCGGCTCCATACTGGATCATGGCACCTCAAAATCTTGTGCTGTCCCCTGGAGAGGATGGGACCCTCATCTGCAGAGCTAATGGCAATCCCAAACCCAGAATTAGCTGGTTAACAAATGGAGTCCCAGTAGAAAGTAAGTTGCCTTAACTGACAATCATTGCAGTATATTTTCAGAGCACATCTACATCTCAACAGTGAATAAATGGTGTTAAAAAATAACTCAGGTTAGGGAAAGAAGCCATAAATACATTAATCAAAGGCACCAACTTACCTTTAGAGTTTATTCTCTGACCATTAGGGTATTTATTTTGACTTTGAATAGTTGATGCTATTGACATAATGATATGTGTTTGTTTGTTTGTTTTATTAAATCATAGCTGTGTACATTAATGCAGTCATGGGGTACAGTGTGCTGGTTTTATATACAATTTGAAATATTTTCATCAAACTGATTAACATAGCCTTCATGGCATTTTCTTAGTTATTGTGTTCAGACATTTATATTCTCCATTTAGAAAGATTCATATGTACCCTTGTAAGATGAACCACAGGTGTGGTCCCACCAATCACTTTCCCTCCACCCATCCGCCCCCCTTCCCTTCCCTCTCCTCTTTGATTGAAAAACTTAGAAATACTTCCTCTGTTTTTTACATGGATAATGGGAAGAATGACTTGGTCAAAAATAAACATCATCAAAACCTCAGATTATCGTCTTTGTTCAAAATGCCAAATGACTCATGGAAGCACTGTAGGAGTCAGAGGCAATGGATGCAGACACAAGGTGCAGGGCCAGTGGATATGACAAGAATAAGAAACATACTATTCTAATTTTAAAATTTTCAGTCCTAAGTATAGCCCAGATATTCCCAGTTTGTCCAGTCTTCAGAAGTCACTGTGCCATTTAAAATCCAATGAAGACAACGTGCTCAGACCCTGAGCAGATTTGGGATGCTGAATCTTTCTCCTCCCTGAGTATTGCTGAGATCGTCCTTACGTAGCCTCACCGTGCTGTCCCTTCATTCAGCAGCATCCCCACTCTGCTGCTCCATTCCCTGCACTTCCTCCCTGCCAGCTTCTCCAAACTGCCACAATGCTGCCCATAACAGTCCCCAAAAGCATGGCCACAGGCCCTTCTGTCAATCTGCTAAATCACAACAAAGAATAGTTTTAAAAATTTTGGTTTTTAAAGGCTTCAAGGTAGTGGAAAGGAATTATAGCAAAGAAAAAAAAACCCTTAAAATGGATATTGTGCCTCATTGCTCCTGGACTTTTCAGCCATGTCCCTGAGGACCCATTAGCTCTCCATTCCCTCTCCCCAATCCAACATCTTTGAACATTTTCCCCTTTTTGGAGTTCAGATGTCCTTGTAGACATGGAGACAGAGAAAATCAGTGTCTGTATCACATCCAGCCCCAAGTTCACCCTCCCAGTCAACACTGTGATTTCAGCAAAGGTATTCATTGCTCAATTTAAAGACAAGTGACTTTCAAGCTTGTGACGTAGCGTAGATCAGCAATCTTGATCACTTCTGAGTTAGAATCAGATATCGGTACCACTGAGCTGACCTGCCCAAAGCAACACACGTTCTTCCCCCTAAGATGGATCTGAAGACTACTAACAGATTTAAAATGGCACAGGACTCTGTTGCTCACCGTCAGGGTCTAACAACTGCAGGTCAGCCGAGTAACTATACCCTGTTGCCTGAAGATTTATCAGGCATTTTCTTGCATTCTTATGGCAGAGTAGTTTTCAGATATACTGAAACAGACAGGCTTTGTTTACTGCAAAAGGAAGATGTTCCAGGAATAAGAACATTCTACAGAGGCTAGCAAATGGGATTTGGATATTTTCACTCCAATTTTAATCATGATTGAGATCAGGAGAAATTGCAGAGAACTTTGTGGTTGTGTATCAGAACGCTGATGCCACTCTCAGGAGAATGTGAGAGGAAAAGTGGCAGGAAGCCAGAACTAAGAGAGGAAATTTTGTGCTATAATCCATGATTTTCTTAGGGATGCACACAGTGGCGGTGAATGATAGCTCAGGCTCAGCATTTCCACAGCATGGCTTACAGCTCAGAGGGTCTGTCTGGATTTATGGAAGGTTAAAAGTGCACATGAGATCCAGACTCAGCGAAACTGACAAGTGGGAGGGGCCAGCCAGCCAGCCACTACTGCCCTAAGGAGGGAGCCAGGACAGGTTGAAAGGATAAACCGTGGAGCTTGACAGCAAGAATGCTGTCCTGAGCAGAGAAAACTGAGACATGGGTTACACAGCAAGAGGAGATAAGATAATGAGACTGATCTTTGCTCCCAATTTGCTTGGCTTGTCATCCTTCTAAACCAACTGTCTTGGTCTGTTCCTGCTGCTATAATGACGTACCTTAGACTAGCTCATTTATAAAGAAGAGAAATTCATTGCTCAGAGTTCTGGAGGCTAAAAAGTCCAGATCAAGGTGCCAGCAGGTGTGGTGTCTGGTGATTGGCGTTGCTCATAACTGCTATTTTCCATGTCCTCACATGGTGGAAGGGGTATCCAGGCTCCCTACAGCCTTCGATAAGAGCTCTAATCCCATTCATGAGGTGGAGCCCTAGTGACTTAATCACATCCCAAAGACCCCACCTCTCAATACCATTGCCTTGGATGTTAGGTTCCATCCAACACATGAATTTCAGATGAACATGAACATTTAGACCACGGCAGCAGCACAGGCAGTGCCTCTGAGAGAATCTCCTAACTATAGTTGTATTAAGAGCTTTCAAAATACACTTATAAACTCCCCTTTAAAGTGCAGCTTTTGTAGTGAGGACCCACTGTAAAAGGCCTGCTTTGGGGACACAGAGCAGTAGTTCTGGAGAGATAAATTAGGTCCACCTGCTGTAACCCTAAATCATTTGATTATGTTCAGAGCAGAAAGAGGACAAAACTTCTCAAATCAGATTTCAAATCAGTTCATTTCTTCCATCCCAAAAGTATTCTTTAAATCTCCATTGGATAGATAAAGGAGGCTGAGCACATATGATTGGAATTCTGCAGCTCCTATAGACCCAGGCTCCCTTGGCCCTGGTGTGCCTCAGAGCAGTCACATTGATGGACACACGAGAAGAGGAACACCCTAGCTTAGCGCAAAGCCAGGGGTCCAGCCCACCAGGCTGCCCAGTGCTGCTGGGAGCAGGTGTGGTATGTTTATAACAAGGTGATGTGGGGCTTTCTCTGCAGCTGGTGGACAAACTGAGCGTGCATAGCTACTGTTTGGACTGAGAGGTGATGGGCTGGCGGGGGCCCCTGCACAGCTCTCTACTTACTCAAACTGCAAAGGCACAGCTGTTCCTTGCCACTGGCACTCAGCAGCTGACCCACCTACAGCTTCTAGGGACTGGCCTCTGGGCTAAGTTCAAAGAGAACCTCATATGCCCCTACCGTGTATTGATCTCTCCTGAACCAAAATGAGGAAGAAAACCATCCAAAAAATGGGCAGACGTTTGAGGAGCTCTGTGCCACCCTGCTGGGTAGTTGCCCCATGGATTAAGAGATCCCTAAATAGAATTGACTTTGAGGTTTGGGAACTATGCTGGAAACAGGGGTGGTACTTGTCATCTGCAGTCTTCTGAGTGGTGTACCCCACAGATGCATCCAGCATTGCTGGGGAGTGGGAGCTGATGGCAGAGAGACACGTAGATGCGGGACAGGAACTGAGTGCAAAATCTGTCACAGTTCGCAAAGGCATTGAACTAGCCCTCATGGAGGCCTGGCATAGGCCCCAGAAGATGTGGGAACACCAGCTGGCTTGCTGACAGCACTCTCCACCCAAGAGAAAGTGCTGTGGGTGGACCAGCTGCTGAGGGTGAGGGGCAGGGTAACAGCTGTATTGCTGCAGTACTGTCACGCAGGGAGCTGTGCCGCATCCCTGCCGGGGGCGTGAATTTTGTCCCCTGACCACACAGCAGAGGGACAGGCAGGGGACTGTACTGCCGGATACCCAGCCTCCCCCTGACAGTCTCCTGACACCTCTGTAGGCCCTGCCTGCCATTGCACACAAATACTGCAAAAAGATGAGCAAGAACAGGGAAACAGAGGGGTGGGCCTTTTTCTTCCAGCAAATGCAACCTCCTTGATCTGTGACTGCCTTTCAGATCCGGAACCCCCTGTTTTAGGGCACTGGAAGAATTAACTCCAGATAACAACTGGGCTTTTATCTTAATGACTTCTAAAGCTTTATCCCCCACAGAACCGGCCAGGTTACTTAAAACTTTCCTTCAAAGAAAAAAAAATAGGCTGTGATAAATATAGAAATTCCCCAAAACCACTGAAAATATTTTTTAAACAACCTACAGAAGCCAGGAAAAAGAACACAGCTGCAGAGAGCTGGTATGGAAAGAGAACTTTGATTATACTGTGTGACAAGAGATATGGAGGTAGAACCCAGGACCAGAAAGAAAATGAACTTGGTATCAGCAGGATGGGGTAAAGCATTTCCCTTCTCTCCCCAAGAAGCTGCCTTTAGGGACTTCAGAATCACCCCTAGGTAGGTGTCCCTAAGTTCCTTCTTCTTCCTCTCAGTCTCCCCGACTGGAGCATCCAGGCCTTCCTGATGGTGGGCCCCAGGCCAAGGTCATGTCACTGTGTTTGGGAGACAGTGAGTGAGTCTACCGTGAGTCCAACATGAGTCCAGTTAGGTCTCTCAGACTCTTCTGCGGGGAACATGTATAAGATCACACCAGTAATATGTCAAAAAGCCCCTTTTCTCTCCAATTTTAGGAGGGAAAGAAAGTGAGGGGATGAGCATAGGCCACAGAGGCACATTTTGCTCACATTGAAGAGAGGGGCTGAGTCACTGACACAAAATAAGCAGCCAGCAGAAGATAGGACCGCTCGTCCAGGAGATCACTGTGATGCCACCTCGGCTTCTTTCTTCTTGCAAAACTAAGGGGCTCAGTTGGCATCTCCTTCTAGGGGATGCAATAAGTAGATGAAGAGGAAAATTTAACTTTTCTACCTTCTGCCCAAATGTTCCGAGTCCAGAGAATATTTATACAGTTGATTAACTCAGAAAACCTGAGCATCAGTCTTATTTGGACAGACCATTAAGGGCTCCTGTTTGTAGTTTCTCATACTCCAAAGTGCATACTCTGCTTTCTGATTAACCTATTTCATGATGTTCTTTTAAAATAAAATGTTACAATAGATGTACACACATTTTTAAGGAGGTAGGCTGGGATTATTATTAATATTATTCTCATTATCTAAATGTTAGTAACATTAATGTTTTTAGCCAGCCATGTCAGGAGGATCAAAGAAAATATTTTCTCTAGGCTACCACCCTAGTTCTAGACCTTGCCTTTGGGGCTGTAAGTTATATGTGGTGCCTCTGCGCTCTTCTTTGATTACAGCACATGAAGTTGGTTATTCCCAGAATTAATTATTACTCCTTGGGATAATTTGGGTTTGCATGTTGGAGAGTTACCGCTACCCAGCTCATAGAGTCCAAAGGCTTCAAATGTCTCTGCTTTAGCGATTTCGTTCTATGTCCAGCTACCAACTGGGCCTCCTTATGTCACCATGACAGTTCCTGGGGTTGTTTGCATTTTTGAAAGTCAGTACTTAAGGAAAATGTAGCCCAAAACCCCCTGGAGGGAGATCTGCTTATTCATTACTCTGACCTAAAGGTTTTGTTTTATTCCTAAATGCCTTGCCAAAAATAAATACTTGAGGGCTGCTCTGTTTAGTGTAAATAAGGCAGAGGCAATCGGATGCCTTTCAGGTAAAAATTATCATCCTGAAGAACTGATAGCAAAGAAAAGGGCAATTGGGGCTCACAGAAAAGCTTTTTGATGTGGTTGATGTTTGTGAGTAATCAGTCTCCACTTAGGGAAAATCATCCTGGGGGCTTTATTTTCATTGACCTTTGTCTTCCATGTTCATGGTAGTGTAAGGTTTTAAATTATTATGGTAAAAATAAATTACAGTAACCACCTTAACCATTTGTAAGTCAGTCGTGTTAAGCATATGCACATTATTGGGCAATAGATGTCCAGAACCAGAGCTCTTTAACCTATTATAAAAGCATGATATCCTCAGGGAACTTGAGGAGCTGTTCCCACAGTCTGCCACCCATCCAGGGAGATTCGGCCTGGACCTCTGCCTGTGCCTCATCACTGTCTACTGTGCCCAAGCACGACACTCCAATGCCTGGCACATCTACAGAGGTGCAGTCGGACGGGCACGTGGTGGGCATCCAGAGTCCCCAAAGGAGTCCCAGCAGCCCTGAATGCCCAACATGCTAAGAATAATTGACAGCAAAAGAGTCTGCAGAAATGCTGCTCTGTTTCCAGCAGGCTTTGTTGAGGCAGCTGGTGGGCATCACTCTGAGTGTGCGAGTCAGAAATGCCCTAGTGAGGCAAGACTTGGGATCTGAGACATGGGACCAGGGCGCCCTAAGGTACAAGGGTCCAGGGCTGCCTGCCACAGCTACTTCCTAGGCCAGTGGGACATTTCTGTCCTCTGCTGTCATTTATTGATGAATCCATATCCTATTGAACTAATTATTATGACTTGTATGTTTCTTCTGCTTGGAAGAATGTATTCCTCCAGGCAGTTTTGAAACAGTAGATGGGAGCAAAGAAGCCAATGCAGGCTCGGTGTCCGTAGCACAGTGGTTACGGTTACGGTACCGGCCACGGACACTCAGGCTGACGGGTTCAAACCTGGCCCGGGCCAGCTAAACAATGACAATGGCAACAACAACAAAAAAATAGGCAGGCATTGTGGCAGGCGCCTGTAGTCCCAGCTACTGGGAGGCTAAGGGAAGAGAATTGCTTAAGCCAAAGGGTTTGAGGTTGCTGTGAGCTGTGACACCATGGCACTCTACCAAGGGTGACAAAGTGAAACTCTGTCTCAAAAAAAAAAAAAAAAAGAAGAAGAAGAAGCCAATTCAAAGTTTCAAAGTATCTCAGTACACCCCATCTAAGTTGAACAAAATGGAGTATCTAAATTGATTTCATAAATTAGCTATTGATTGTGATCAGAGTGTTGAACAGTTACTTTTTAGAGAGCATCTGTCAAGCCTGTTCAGAAATGAAGGCATTAATTAGTCCATGAGGAGTAGCTCACAAGTGAGAATTTTAATAATCCTTGGATGATAGACATTCATTCTGAACTTCAATTTGTGGTGTATTTTTAGAATATTCTGGTCTGAGACTTCTAAAAGACTTTTAGTCTGTAAATGTGATAGAATATGTGGCAGACAAAATAATGGCCCTCCAAAGAGGTCTACATCCTAATGCCTGGAATCTGTGAATATGTGACCTTACCTGGCAAAGGGGCTTTGCACATGTGATTAAAATTAAGGGCCTGTGACACAGAACTAGACTAACTAGTTTGGGCCCAATGTAACCACATGAGCCCTCAAGAAGTAAAGTACCTTTCCTGGCTGTGGTCAAAGACAAGTTTGACTGTGGGAGAATAATGAGAGAGCTGCAACACTAATGGCTTTGAGAACAGAGGAAGGGAACCACGGGCCAAGGAATGGATTCTCCTCTAGAATCTTGAGAAGGGAATGTAGCCCTGCTGATATGTTGATTTTAGCTTGGTGACACCCATGTCAGGCTCCTCCCCTACGGAACTGAATGATGGTAAATTTGGATTGTCTTAAGCCAGTAAATTCATGGTAATTTGTTACAGCAATGGTAGGAAACTATTTCAGAATAGTGAACACAGTACCCGGAGTATGTATACTAGAACAAGGATAAATACTTATAGTTGGGCATTTTTATTCAAGTGGGTTAATAAAGCACAGATGAATCCAATATTTTTTATTTTAATGTGATAAAGGTGTCTAAAAGCAGTGATAAATATATCTTAGGTGCAAATCCTTTCCCTATCACTAAAGAAAAAGAAATGGCATTTACAAGGAGAGTAGAGTCTTCTTACCTGGTTCAAGTTGCAGAAGCAGTTTCAGAGAGAGTGCAGCTATTCGGTTTTGGTTTTGATCAGCATGCTGAGACAAAGATCTAAACCCTTTTCAGTGTGCTTTTAAAGCAATGTAAGGTCACAATCTAAGGTTTAGCATTCACAAAAAGGAATTCTTCTCTAATAGCACAGGAGTTCCAAATTGTTGGACCTGCCGTGGTCTAAATCCTCATGTATTATATTACCTAGCCAGTTCTTTTCCACTTCAGTGAAGGTCGGTCCTTGTCCTGACATTTTTTTTTAAGACCATAAGAAATTTAGATGAAAACACTTGTCTTTAAGAGAAATTTTGCATAATTTATTTTTAATCCAGCCTTGGGAATCTCCAAAGCAGGAAAATAAATTGATTTATTTACATAATATTATATCTGTTTATGTACTTATATATTTATTTATCTATTGCCCTGGCACCTGAAAGGGCTGGGTTTGGATAAGCGAGTGTGTTTTTGTATTTTTTTGGCTAGCTTTTGCTCTGTCCTCATGATGCTTAACTTGCCTTCTCATAAATAACCACAGTCTCTTTGTGAACAAGACAACGTAAGGGTTGTTTTCCTGCATCTCTTAAAATGATAGTCAGTGTTACAGAATCAATCTACTTAGACTAAATGAATATTGAGCAGAGACCCATGCTAATATATGAGAAATAAACTCTGATGAGGAACATTCATGTTTTCTGCCTGGCTTGTGGTCATCTTTTCTGCATGTACCTGAATCGGTCTGTATTTATGTCTTCCTGACCACAATGTAGATCTCAAGCTGTATGAATAAAATATTCATAACACATACAGCTTTTAAGCAAAAAGGAATAAATATACATTTTATGTTTTTACACCCAGTTTCCCCTGAAGACCCCAGCAGAAAAATAGATGGCGATACCATTATTTTTTCAAATGTTCAAGAAAGGTCAAGCGCAGTCTATCAGTGCAATGCCTCTAATGAATATGGATATTTACTGGCAAACGCATTCATCAACGTGTTGGGTAAGCTCTATCTTTATTAAAGACATGGCAAGTTAAATTAACGACTGCTGTTATTTTCCATTCATTCAGCAAAAATATATTGAACATCTACTATGCTTAATGCACAGTGCCTGGAGCTATGTGTATATACAAAGATGAGTAAGACACAGAACTTGCCCTGAAGGCTAGTGCAGTCTGGTCTTAATGTTCTTTCATAACACAGTTTTTTAATGGCAGATTCTCCCTTGTAGAAATAATCTAGTAGGTTGTGCCATTCACAGATTGTCAGATTAAGTGTCAAGCCCCTCAAAGGAAAATAGCATTGGTCTGCTGTTAGTAACCGAATGACACCACTCTTCCATCCTTAGAAACTTGACAAGTTAATTAACAATTTCATGATTCTGATTTTTAAAAAATAAACCATTAATCTTAATCCTTGGGCTTTATCCAAGTCACGGATGTACATTTATTTAATTTGTAAAAATTTGTTTAAAAAACTGTGACATAATCAAACATATTATCAAATGGTTGATTTATGTGAACATTATATTTCTCATAGTGGACAAAACTACAAAAATACCACATTTTAAAAAATTCATGTGAGAATTTTTTTCATAGTGCTAGGGAATTATACTTTAGCTGTGCTGAGATTCAAAGAAAATTAATAATGTCAGGAAGCCAGCCAATACCAGTACTCTATATTTTTCCTGCATACTTGAAATAAAGTTCATTAATCCCATGAAGAATAAGCAGTTAAGATATTAGTGTGTGTTGAGATAGAAGTTTTGATTTGGCTCAGCACTCACTGCTCAGTGAGTAGGGTGCCAGCCACATACACCGAAGCTGGTGGGTTTGAGCCCAGCCTGGGCCTGCTAAACAATAATGACAACTACAACAACAACAAAAATAGCCAGGCCTTATGGCAGGTGCCTGTAGTCCCAGCTACTTAGGAGGCTGAGGCAAGAGAATCACTTAAGCCCAGGAGTTTGAGGTTACTGTGAGCTGTGATATCATAGCACTCTACTGAGGGTGACATAGTAAGACTCTGTCTAAAGAAAAAAAAAAGAAGTTTTGATTTCTGGTTCCATTTTTACTCTCTATCTTTATCCATTCAACTTTTTGGATTCCATATATAAGTGAGATTTTGCAGTATTTTTTATTTGTATCTGGCTTGTTTCACTTAGCATAATGTCTTCCCGGTTGATATATGTTGTCACAAGCAACAGGATTTCCTCCTCTTGTAAGGCTGAGTGGTGTTCCATCGTACATATGTACCAGATTTTCTTGATCTATTCACCCAGTGGTGCACACTGTTGATTTCCTATCTTGGCTACTGTAAATAATGCTACGGTGAACAGGAGAGTTCAGATATCTTGACACACCACCTTCATTTCCTTAGGATATAGGATCATATGGTAGTTTTATTTTTAATTGTTTGACAATTAATTTTTATAAACAATCTTTATACTGTTTTCTGTAACAGCTATATTAGCTTACATTCCCATTAACAGTGTACCAGCATTGCCTTTTTTCCACAGCCTTGCCAATACTTGTCTTTCTTTCTTTTTTTTAAGAGACAGAGTCTCACTTTGTCACCCTCAGTAGAGTGCTGTGGCGTCACAGCTCACAGAAACTTCCCAGCTCTTGGGCTTAGGCGATTCTCTTGCCTCAGCCTCCCAAGTAGCTGGGACTACAGGTGCCCACCACAATGCCTGGCTATTTTTGGTTGCAGTTTGGCCAGGGCCAGATTTGAACCCGCCACCCTCCATTTATGGGGCTGGTGCCCTCACTGAGCCACAGGTGCCACCTGCCAATACTTGTCTTTCATCCCTGTAATATCAGCCATTCTAATAGGTGTGAGGAAATATCTCATTGTAGTTTTGATTTGCATTTCCCTAGTGGTTAGGGATAGTGACCATTTTTTCATATGCCTGTTGACCATTCCAGTGTTTTGCCCATTTTAAATCAGGTTATTCATTTTCTTACTTCTGAGTCATTTGAGTTTCTTATGTATTTTTAATATTAACTCCCTATCAAATATATGGTTTGCAAATATTTTCTCCCATTCCCTAGGTTGTCTTTCCACTCTGTTGATTGTTTCCTTGGCCATACAAGTTTTTTTTTAATCTGACACAATCTCATTTGTCTATTATTTTTGCTGTTGTTGTTGCCCTGGTTCCATTTTTAGTCTTCACACTCATCACTCTGCTCTTTTCTGGCAGCTTATGTGTTCCCCAGCATCCCCACCCATGAGGTTATGATGGGTCAGTCATTCAACAAAAATATACTTGACCATTATTTTTTGTGCCAGAGACTGTGCTGGGGATAAAATGATAAAAAGTTTCATTCCTTGGCTGCAGTGTTGTAGAAGATACAGAGAAGTAACTCAAGAATTAAGATAAAGCCTGAGCAAGATGTAGGGCAGGCAGTAGAGGAAGGAAAATGGCATTTTTCCACCTTGAATGACTGGCAGTGTCAAGCCTGATGGGGATGATAGGGGAGTGATATGCCAGTGGTGCTTTACCATACACTTTTAGTGACCTTAAAACAAAAAGCAATAAACACACTGTGGACCTAAAATGTATTCTGACATTTACTTTACCTTTGTGAAATATTTTTAGCGGAGCCACCACGAATCCTCACACCTACAAATACACTCTACCAGGTCATTGCAAACAGGCCTGCTTTGCTAGACTGTGCCTTCTTTGGGTCTCCTCTCCCGACCATAGAGTGGTAAGTAGTGGCCCTGTGTGTTTTTTAATACTTAACATTTGCTAAAGCTTTCATATTTCTAAATACACTGGATTTTAGTCAAAAAATAAACATTTGAAGGTGAGGCATAATCCATTGTACTATTATGAAATTCACTCATTCATTCACAAACACTTATTAACCACCTGCTCGATGCTAAATGTTCTCATGTGTGTTATCTAGCAGCACACTCTATCAACCACACAGATACATGTCAATAATTTTTTTAAATTTATGGCTGTTGTATTTTACAGTGCCATGGACATTCCCTAGGACTTTGTCAGTAGTCCCTAGACAAAGTGGTTAGGGGACAGTCTTTGGTAATAAAATATTATGGGGTGGGGGATGGTCCTATAAGCTGAAGAGCAGAATCTGCTATTACCAGTGCTTTCCTGAGTATCTCTCCCACTAGATCTGTCTGACTTGGATCCAGTCAAGCTCTCCTGTGTCCTTGAAGACACATGTCTCCCTTCAGACCACTGCCTTTCCTATACCACTCTTGATATAAGTCCTCTAACTCCTTGTAGCATGCCCACTTGAGCTAAAAGAGACAAGGATAGGATGGGTAGACAATAGCTCAGAATGAATAAGTGAAAGAAAATTGGAATATTCAATGATTGATCACCTGTCAGGCCCTGGATACTATGCTGGGCTCCAGCTACTGAGGTGAGAATAAAAACAGGGTTAGGATTAAAGGAAAATCTCCCCAGGCCTCCACTTTAACCCTGAAGAAGGGAAACGGATATTTGGGCAGGCTATTTTGCAGTGAAGATGACAGGTTAACACTTAGATGAGCGGTTGGCTTTGCTCTCTCCCTTTTCTTCGACTTTCACTCCTATCTGACATACATGCTATTTTGTTCCTCCCCTGAATATTTTCCTACTCATACTTTCAAAAGCATAAACCTTGTACCCTTGAAATCAAAATTTCTTTAGAACTGTAGCCTGCAGAGTTATAAATACATCACAGTTGAGGGGATCAAAATATCAGTCGTCATTCTGCCTATTTTATTAACTATTTAAAGATAAAATAGGTAATAATGGATTTATTAAATTATAGATCTCTCATAATAAAACATTACAATTTAAACAGAACCAGCCTGATTCTACCAACACCATGTATTGTTGAATTCTCTAGTTTTAGGTCTTGTCTTTGCATTTAGCTCCCTGACCTACAGGCAGGCAGTGTGCAAATTCCAAATGTCTCTGGACTGACAATTTAACATAGACCACGGTAGCTTGAATGTAGCATTTTATGTCTAACTTTCAATTAGGATGTGTTTTGAATTCTCGTTGTGATCATTTCTATTATGAAGGTTTAAAGGAACTAAAGGAAGCGCTCTTCGTGAAGATATTTATATTTTACATGAAAATGGAACTTTAGAAATTCCTGTGGCCCAAAAGGACAGTACGGGAACTTATACGTGTGTTGCAAGGAATAAATTAGGGATGGCAAAGAATGAAGTTCACTTAGAAATCAAAGGTAAGGTAGAGGTTAATAATTTTTTTCAAGCATTATGGGACTTTAAGCAAATTCTCTAGCTTTGCCAATGGATAACAATAACTTTAAATTTCAGATCCAACAAGGATCATTAAACAGCCTGAATATGCAGTTGTGCAAAGAGGGAGCACAGTGTCCTTTGAGTGCAAAGTGAAACATGATCATACTTTAACCCTCACCGTCACATGGCTGAAGGACAACGGTGAGCTGCCTGATGATGACAGGTATTTAAAGATGATTTATTTCCTTTCCCTTTAAGCTGATCTTGAACTAAAGGTCTGTTGTATAATGATTTAATGCTGATGTTTTTAGTTTCTGAAGCCTGCTGTCTCCAAAATAAAGAGTTATGCATTTTCCCCCTACTGTAAACTATTTGGGCTTGAAAAGGTATCAAGTGATTGAAATAGGACACTGAGAATGTTTATCTTTGTGTGTTGGTCTCCCCGTATAATTTGGGGTGGGAAAAGCCCTTCAGACCTTGGACAATATCCATTGTTTTGTACCTTAAATAGTGAAGCCTCAACAGATGTTTTCATTACTCTTCTACAAACAGACAGAAATATGATCTCTTTAATCACCAGGGAGCATTCAAATCCTTATCAGTATTTTTAAAATCACTAGTTCTTTTCCCCAAATTTTAAGGGATAATAAGTGTTTTAGGTTACATGGATTGTTTTTGTACTGCTTGAGATCCAGCTGTCGGTGTGCCCATCACCCAAATAATGTCCATGATACCCATTGGGTATGTTTTTTCCCCTCCTTTCCTCTATCCTACCCCCTGGTTGATTTCCACTGAGTTTTACTTCCCTCTGTGCACAAATGTGCTCATCAGTTAGTTCTAATTTAATAATAACTGCTTGTGTTTGTTTTACCATTCTTTAGATATCTCACTTAGGAGAATGGTCTCCAGTTCCATCCAGATTGTTGCAGAGTTATTAATTCATCTCTTTTATGTCTGAGTAGTACTCCATGGTATACATATACCAAATTTTATTAATTCACTCATGTATTGCTAGGCGCTCCACATCTTTGCAATTGTGAATTGTGCTATAATAAACATTTGAGTGCAGGTGTCTTTTTGGTGAAAAACTTTTCTTTTGGGTAAATACCAATAGTGCAATTGCTGGATCAATGTTAAGTCTTTTGGTTCTTTGAGGAATCTCCATATTGTTTTCCATAGAGGTTGTACTAATTTACAGTCCTACCAACATCCCTTTCTCTCTGCATCCATTTTGGAGTGGGGACTTTTTAATAAAACCCTTTCTGCCTAGGGTAAGGTGATATATCTCATTGTGGTTTTAATTTGCATTTCCCTAAAGATTAGTGATGTTGAGCATTTTCTCATATCTTTGTTAGCCATTTGTCTTTCTTCTTTTGGGAATCTCCTGTTCATATCTTTCGCCCACTGGTTTTTTTTTGTTTGTTTGTTTGTTTTACTGATTTGCTTGAGTTATTTGTAAATTCTAGTTTTTAGTCCTTCATTACATATAGAGCTTGCGAATATTTTCTCACATGCTGTAGGTTGTCTTTTTGCTCTGTTGATTGTTTCTTTAACTGTGCAGAAATTTCTTAGTTTAATCAAATCCCATTTATTTATTTTTGTGTTGCCATGATTACCACTGGGGTCTTAGTCAAATTCTTTGCCTAAGCCAATATCTAGAACAGTTTTTCCTACATTTTCCTCTAGAATTCTTGTGGTTTCATGCCTTAGATCTTATATCCATCTTGAATTAATTTTTGTGAATGGTGAGAGGTAGAGGTCCTGTTTCATTCTTCTACATGTGTCTATACAATTTTCCCAGCACCATTTATTGAATAAGACTTCTTTTCCCCAGTATATGTTGTTTTCTGCTCACCTCCTTAGTTAAGTATATTCCTAGATATTTTCTTTTCTTTCTAGCTGTTATAAATGGTATTGAGTTTCTGGTTTGACTCTTGCTTTGACTGTTATTAGAGTACTGTATCCTGAGAATTTACTGACTTTATTTGTCAATTCCAGACGACTCTTGATAGAATCTTTGGGGGGTTTCTAAATACTAGATCATATCATCAGCAAAAAGAGATAGTTTGACCTCCTCTTTCCCAATTTGGATACCCTTAATATTCTTCTCTTACCAGATTGTCCCAGCTAAGACTTGCAAAGAGATAGTTTGACCTCCTCTTTCCCAATTTGGATACCCTTTAATATTCTTCTTTTGCCAGATTGTCCCAGCTAAGACTTGCAGTACTATGTTGAATAGAAGTGGTTAGTGAGGATCCTTGTCTTGTTCTGATTTTTATTTGCATAGGGAGTCTTCTTTTCATTTTATCTAAAGCTGGTGGAAAGGCAAGGAAAAACAAAAACAAAAATATATAAAACATTTAAAAGGGCTTTAAAGGGCAGTGCCTGTGGCTCAAAGGAGTAGGGCACTGGCCCCATATACCAGAGGTGGTGGGTTCAAACTCAGCCCCGGCTAAAAACTGAAAAAAGGCGGGGGGGGGGCTTTAAAGAGTTACAGTCCATTAGCTTGGAATGGAAGAAAGATCATGCCATTTTCCAACTGAGGCCTTCAATTTGCCATAGTAAATAATAGGGTTGAATTTGTGAATTTTAACGATCAAAGTGCCTAAAGATATCCTTCCCTATTAAAGGAAATGTTGCATTCTGGTGGAAATGGTATCTGTGATTCTCTGGGATCTGACCGAAAGCTTGGTCCTCAAATGGTGCCCTATTGCTTATTAATGGCCCCAACAGAGCTTTGTGGCCTTCTCTTCTGTGTCCCCAGAGTTTCCATCCAGTTTTCTACTTCAGCTAGTCAGGGGTGTATGTATGTGTGTGTGTGTGTGTGTGTGTGTGTGTATGTGCACACACGTGCAAGCTGAGTGGATAAAGATGAGATGGGAATGTGTGAACTGACCATCAGATTAAGTTAGCTAAGGCTTTAACTTGAAAATTACCTGAGAAGACAGTTTATAATTTATTCAGCTTCATTAAAACCATACATGAATCCTCCATATGTTGATTTTTTGACTCACTAAGCAATTTTTCATACCCCCAAGTAACCTTGAGAAATCAACTCCTAGTGGAGATTGCTATCTAAATCTTCCTGTTTCTAGTGATCAAACAGTTTCTATTCTTTGCATTGATTATACTTTCTCCTATGAGAGCTTTTGCATGTGGCAAAAAGGACAAAAAATTTCTGTAGTAAATAATGAAGTATTTATAATATATGCTCTGATAGAAACAGAGCTGAATGGTTTTCTACTGGTAAGGATAACCGAAGCAGCCCTCCAACCTCTGAACTCCCCTGGGGACTCTTCGGGCCTTCCAAAGGCCTGCTTGAAAACCATGGCACCAGGTGAAATATCTCTCTAGTCCAAGATTCCAATTCATTCTAATTGTTTTTCAACTTTGTTATTAAAATGATACATATTATATATAATTTTTGCTCTAATTTTCTGAAACCATCATCTATCTCTTTTATCAAATTCACAGTTTCTTTCATGCCAATAAAGCAATTATAGGGTGTGGCTGCACATACATTTCAGCTTCTCTGCATGTGTTATCCTGACAGGTTCACTATCGAAAAAGATCATTTGGTGATAGCAGATGTCACTGATGATGACAGTGGGACCTACACGTGTGTGGCCAACACCACTCTGGACAATGTTTCTGCCAGTGCTGTGCTAAGCGTTGTTGGTAAGAATGAGAACAAATGCAACCCAACTGACTTCCCTGTGTCAGGTTGGAAAAAAAAGAAAAATTGCAAATTTTAAAAACTTGCTTGTCAATACCCAGGAGTGAGTTAATTCCCATGTTTTCTCCTTTGAAAGATGCCTTTGAGGCAATAATTTCAATATACATATACTCTATAGCCACACTGGGGGGAAATGGTAAATATATATGCATTAGTGATATTATTTATTAAAAAGTTGGGGAAAAATGTTTTTAAATCTACTTTTCTTTAAAATTGAAGGGTTTTCCCCCTAAGTTGTTACTGCATGTTTATTAAAACCATGTCTCACAGCTAATCATAAGCCTTAATTTTATAATCACAAATCATGTACAGTCTTTGTCTTCTTGTGCTGTCTTATATCTTTCCATTACTAATTTTGATTAAAATCCTTTATATTAATGTCCTTTCTAGCTCCTACTCCAACTCCAGCTCCCGTTTACGGTAAACTAATAAAAATCTTCTTTCTCTATTTTCTGTCCATTTCATATTTGCAAAAAACAATTTCCTTACTTTCTTTTCTCTATCACGTCATTTTGTTTCTGTGTGGAAAGGGCTCCTTCCCTTGTTACGTGTGTCACTCATTCACTGCAAGAATCATTTCTTCATTGTACCCCTAGAATGTTTCACTGAGTTTATTGCCAGTTGTTTCTAAATATTTCACGTGCGATTATAAAATCATTTCATTTGCTAAAAGTCCCTTTTGGAAACAATTTCTTTTAAAAGTAGCATAGTACTTTTTCAAAAGCAGTCAGCCACCTTTTACAGAATTAGGAAGCTTTTTCTAATATTACTCCACAAATTATTTTCACATCAATGTATTAAAAGTTGCTTTGAGATTCTATATACAGGAAAAAACTGAGTGTTTAGAACATTTGACTTTCATATCAGAATAAACTAACTCATTATGTTTAAATGAAATATAAATCATTAGGGAAATACCAAAAGGAGGGACAGGCTTCTCCAAATTGGGAAAATAATCAGAAATTATTTTCAGAAATATTTTTGCTTAGAGAACCCCATCTTCATTCAGGACACAAATACAAAAATTAATTTTATGGTATATTCTCAGCTGGATTTCACATAATATCATCAGCCATCCTGTATAAGACCTGTTCTTCGCAGACATTTACTGCTTCATTATTGATAAGGGAAAAAAATCATATATTTATATTCAAAAGCCTGAGTTACTCCCAGGACCCAGGCCAGATAAAGACCAAGGGGAGAACATTAATTCTCTGGATCTCAGAAGCAACATCAGAAAAGGCAGACTTGCTTCTAGGACACATTTGTCCAACAGGTTTCTGTATACTATTGTCCTCTGGGAGTAAAGCCTGCCCCACTTGCTGAGAGCTACCTGCATAGCATTTATATTCTTTCAAGAATATAAATATTGTTTAGGCACCCCCATATCTTACCATTCAGCATGTTTCAGAAAGCACATTTGAATCTTCTTTAAACAGTATGTTTTATTCACCAGCATTTGGTTTTCAGTATTTGCTATTTCTATTTCCCTATGTTAGAAACTAAGCTTTGGTACTATTGTCCACATTTGTGCTCATTCATGTTTGTAAGGAGACTCACACTGAGAGTGCTGATGAACCATCCAATGTCTGCTTCACTGGATTTGGTTACAGATGATTCAGTTTCCTTTGAAAAACAGAGAGCAGAACTCATTAACCGGCTATTTGGGGGTGTGCTCATGCGTTCCCAGCAACCTCAGTTGTTTGCATTTTGTTTCAGCTGCATGCTCATTGACCATTAAGTGTGCTGTGTCTCTAAGATAGCTACCTGTGAATGGTATCTCCAATAAAGGAGAACCTTTGAAGGACAGATGGTTAACTGTGACGTGTGTGTCTTTGGTCTACAGATGTCCCGAATCCTCCTTTTGATTTAGAATTGACAAATCAACTTGACAAAAGTGTTCAGCTGTCATGGACCCCAGGCGATGACAACAATAGTCCCATTACAAGTATGTGGGATTCTCTGATTTATTACTGATAAACTTAATGGCCATTTTTAAAGCACTGTAGAATATGCAAAAATATTATAATAGGATAAAAATATTTATGTATGGCCCTCATCATTGGAGATAGAATTATTCCTGGTTATGGGACACTAATTAAAAGCTGAAACTGTCAGCTAAGTAGATACCCTGTTGTTTGTGTTTAGGATCCATTAGAATCACCATAAATACCTATCATGTTAGGAAGACACATCTTAAGTTAGTAGTTCATTTTGCCCATTACTTCTATGAGAAAAGGTAGTGGGGGGCAGGTGCTAAAAGGCCTGTGTACATACTAGGAAATCAAGACATGGTGAGTAAAGTGACTTTCACAGTTGGTGACAGAGGCAGATACCTCCAGCAGGTCCATAAACTCACAACTTAGGTCTCTTTGTTCCCACTAGCCCTGCTGCAAAGTGCCTTCTACAGTATCAACTCCTCACCTTGGTGACATAAACCTAGGGAGTAAAATCAGATGAGGGACCATCCCATAAGGATACTGGAGGAGCTTAATAAATTAGAATATAGGTGAGCTTAGAAGTTTCATTGTTAAGCTGAAGAGATACTTAAAAGGAAGACATAATTAGGTCACAAGCCTGAAATACATTATTACCTTCAGGTGTAAACTTCAGGAATACTGAAATCCTTTCTAATGACTACCTAAGATGATTCTGAAATGACAGGTGTATTGATTTCTTGTACCTACTAGTAAAACAGAATATATCCAGTAAATTCAACAGAAGCTTCCTCTCTACCCTATGTTGTTCCAAGGTGCTCTTTTCTCTACTGAGTTTTCAGTGTCCTCAGTCAGAACACACATTGTCCTCCAGCAAGTTCAGTACATTAGCCAGAGTTAGGATGCTTGGAGCCTCTTTTTACCTGTGTTCAAATGATTCCATTAGAGTTCAAAGCATTTCTACTTTTTGATTCACTCCACAGATATTTATTAAGTGCCTGCTTCATGTCAGGCATTGTTCTAAAATGAAACAGTCAAAAATCTCTGCCCTTATGGAGCTTATGTTTTAGATGAGGGCACAAGTGAGATTAAACTAGTAATATATATTACATTACTGTGTACAATATCATTATACATGTGTGTACATACATTATCCACGTATACATACAAACACAGACACAGGGCCCAGATCTATCTTCAGGAGAGAACCTGCTGAAAAGAGTGTTAGCAGGAGAAGTGGCCTCCACCTGCCACACCTTCTCTAAGGGTCACTGCAGGGTTCCTGTGAAGGCACATTCTTGGGCTGCTCCAGGGACTGGGTTTGGCAAGGGTCCTAGAGCTCAGCCACACCTGATGCAGAACTCTTCTCATGGGCAGATTTCCCCTGGGGCTCCTCGTTGACCTGACAGAGACCATCTCAGCGCTAGACCACAGTCTGAGACTCTCCCTAGCCACTGAGCCTTCCTTCCTCCTCCCGTAACGGGTGTCAGGCCAGCACTGTGCTCTGAAGGTCTTTCCTGCCTAGTCCCTCTTCCTCTCCCTTTTTCTTCCATGGGCATTTCCACAAATGGATCTCTTCCACTTCTTATTCTGTCTCAGCACTTGCTTTCTAGAGGACTCAAATACATATATCTATACACAGGGTTTTGTGTGTGTGTGTGTTTAGGCCACCCAGAAAACAAATCAGGAAGAAAGATGGGAGAGCTAGGTGTCTAATTATGAATCAGGAGGTCAGGAAAGGCCACATTAAGAAAATAACATTTGAATGTGTTCATCAAGACAGGGGTAGGAGCTGGTCACAGTATCTCATGCCTGTAACCCAGCACCTTGGGAGGCTGAGGTGGGAGTATCTCCTAAGGTCAGGAATTCAAGACCAGCCTGGGCAATATAGTGAAGTGAGACCCTGTCTCTAAAAAATAAAAAAAAACAAAAACAAAGACAGGAGTAGAAAGGTCATCCATTTATGAGATTGGAGATCACTGACAAATGAATATAGATTAAAAGAACTCCAAGGACTTAGCTTTGGACCACTACAAGATGTATAATATTTCTAGTTTCATAGTTCATATCATGGTACCTGGAACATAGCAGGTAATCAATGAATGTCTAAATACCTATGCTTTTACAAGAGTCAAAGTATATCCACCAAATTTTAGTAGCTGTAGAAGGTATGCACTGAAAGGTGTATCTTCCTCCCCCTGCCAACTTCCACCTTCTCTGGCCACATATGTATTATCAGTGTGTATCTTCTGAGAAGTAATGCATGAACTTGTAAGTGAATATGTATGTATATCTGTTACGGCAATTTATCTTATTTTCCAGTACACACTCTTCTATATGCTGCTTGGTTTCACTTACCAACGCATTTTAGAAATCCTGTCATTTCAGCGGCCCCATTCCATTTCATCAGCTGCAGAGTGTTCCATTGTTTGGATCTACCATAATTTGTTCAATCGGTGTCCTAGTGGACATTTAAGTCGTTAGAATCGCAAACAGCACTGCAATGTGCTGTTTCATATCTTTAAGACGCGTGTGAGCACATTCATTCAAGATTAATAACTGGAGGTACATTTCTCAAAGGTTATGTGCATTAAATATTGTTAGGTTTTAAAGATTGTCCTCTACAGAAGTCATACCAATTGACGCTTCTGAGAATGCTTGCTTCCCCGTGTCAGAGTCAGCAAAGTGTGTTAAACCTTTGATTGCTGCCATTCTGTTTAATGGAATATGACATCTCACTGTATTTAATTTCTCCTATTAGAAAAAATTGACCATCTTTTCATAGATTTAAACTTTTTTAAGGGATATATGGATCAATTCTGAAGAGTTTTAAATAACTAAACTCAGAATACTGGAGAAAGAATCCCAAATATTATTGAGTGTGCTAAGCACTGAGGATAAGAAGTCTGAAATCAAAATACGTTAATGAGACTTCTGTTGAAAGTAAAATAATCCATGCCTGACTGCTCTTGTTAGATCACCCTATTAGTTATCACTGGGAACCGACCCTTGGGTTGACGAAATTCCCTCTCTTGGATTTGGTGTGTTTACATGTTGTGGCCAGAATTCATCATTGAATATGAAGATACAATGCATGGGGCAGGGGTGTGGCACCACCACACTGAAGTTCCCGGAACGCAGACCACAGCCCAGCTGAAGCTGTCTCCGTA